ATGAGGTCCTTTTAAAAAAGCTTATGGAAATATTAACATCAATATTAAGAATTACCCCTGAGGATAGTCTATGCTAAAGGGGATCGAATTATAAATAAAAGTATGAAGAAATCACTTACGGAAAAGATGAACTTTTAGAATGCATCCTAAGGGATATTTCTCTTTCTCTGGGAGTCTCTAAGTAGTGGGATTGATTGCCAACTTGCTGGGGCTGGTTACAGAGGGACTTATCTGGAGTTCGGATGACCTGTTTGATGACTTTTCAAGACCCTTCTAGATACAATTTCATCAGTGTGACATAGCAGGTCTTACCTTGAACTTGAAACATTCCAGCATCTTTCTTATAAAGGTCATCTGTACTGCTGTTGTCCTCTTTATTCCATTGATTAGATATTTTATAGACATTCTCACACACTCCAAATGCACAACACTGGTAAGCATAAGGCATTTCTATAACCCTTTAAATGAACAAAACCAAACAAAAACACATGCTTAAAGACACAGGTTATTAAATATAGTGTTCATCTTCTTTCACTCAATAATTCTGTCTTTGGATCTTAGCCTTAATTGAGAAACTAAAATATTAACTGTGTATAAAGATGTTCATTACTGTGTTATTTATAATAACGATGGAGTTATTAAAAATTATTGCCATGAAATGTTGATAATTGTTGAGGTTGAGTGATGCATATATTATATTATTTTCTCTACTTTGGTGCTCAAAAATTTCCATAATAAAGAAGTTAAAAAATGACTGCTAGGGAAATTGTAGCACCATTAAAAAGTGCTTATAGTATGACATAACGTAAAGTAATGAAAACATGATGTAAATTTGTGGTTCTAACGATTAAAAATACATTGGAAACAAAGTCTGGAAGGAAATAAACTAAAAAGTTGTTTAGGGGGTATTTTTAGATTTTTGCTCTCTTCTACTTTCCAAACTCTCGTTTGGGATTATGGTTTTAAAAGTATGTAAAATGTACTGTGGTTTAAAAATGTGTATATATATGTATATATACACACACATACCTACATGTATGTAGGTATATATAGTCTTTCAAGGGATTTTTTTTAACAGTAATAAGCATAACAGGTTTTAAAGAGCATTACTTCCTCAAAGAAATATAAATTTAGTACATTTTATTAGAACATATAACAAGCTAGATTAATTTAAAAACATAAGCAGGACTACAATAATGTTATCATGTTATTTAATTACATGTCCTAGTTTACACCCCATGGATCAGTGGTTTTCAAACTCTTCCCGTGAACACTAGGATTCTGGGAGGCATCTTTGAGAAAGAAAGGAAATGTGATCAGGAAGACGCAGTCTCCCACTTCAGGGTTTGTCCTAACAATGCCCCAGGGGTGGAGGACTTGAGGGCATGAAATGCAATTCAAAAGAGTCCCATGACCTCATAAATTTCGAAAACTACTATAACACGTCTATTACTTTGCATGACCACAAATGTATCTTATTAGTTTTAATGACAAACTCACTTGAGTTCTGGAAAGTTTTCAGATGATATCAAGCTCTGTAAGGCATGATTTCCTGTTAATTTTAAGTGAGTTAAACCATGTAACCCTGTTACAGGAAGAGACGACAGGCGGTTGGAGGATAGGTCCCTGCAAAATATCAAACAACAATTGGCTTTTGGTCTGTGTTAGCAGAAAGCATCGGTGTTAAAAAAAAAAAAAAAAAAAAGAAGCGCAACCTAAAGATTATTAAACTGCTCCATAAGAACTTCTAAGCAGGGTCCATACCCTTCATGGTAAAAATAAACATTTTGGGTTTAGCTCCTGATAATTTTTCGATTTAAAATCAGAATTGCAGAGGGGACGTGTTTCAATCACATTCAAATTGTAGTTTCTACGTTCGGCTTCATTTTGCCAGGTGGGGACATCGCAAATCAGCGGAAGGTGCTACACCTAATTTGAAAAGTGATGTTGAGTGGATTAAGTTGGGCGGGGGCGGAAGGCATAAGAAGCGGAGGGGGCTGTGAAGCGGCACAGGAAAGTTTTCTCTTAGTCAGGATGGCAAATATGAAATGAAAAGGCTTTGGAACCGAAATGACATCTTATTCCACCCCACCTGATTGCTCAGCGAAAATGGAAAATTTCACCTCAATAACCAGAACCAGCTGTCACCCAGATCTTCAATTAAACACGTCAGGGCCCCTGCGGCCTTGGAGGGTGGGGTGGGGACGGTAGGCGGGGTGAGGGGGCTCCTCTCTGGTCTGACTCAGCTCCAGTGTGGACAGCACTGAGGGCCAGGCAATCTGTGCACGGCGGCCTCTTCCGCAAAACTGACATTTTTGATGAATTTAGGTGGCCCCCCAATTATTTAAAATATGCCATAAACAAGTCACGAAATACTCACAGCTTTCTTAGAGATGGCAAAGTGGAAAATGCATTGGGATGAATGATGGCAATTTTGTTCCAGGCTAAATTCCTATTTAAAAAAAAATAAGGCAAGTGAGAGGATTATATACTTAAAAAAGATTGTGTGAAGTTTTACCATATATATTCATTCTTCTGCCAAAATTTAACTTCATTCAGGACAAAACAATGAGCTTATCAAATCAGCCTTCAGATAAAGATATTAGTAGTATAAATGACTAAAGAGGGAACTTTAAATCAACCTTGTTTTAAGTCAACCCAGGAAGAATCATGCAAGTGAATATTTTAGATTTTACTGTTTGCTAAAAAGTTCACTGAAACATGGTTGTGAGGTTTTATGAGGGCATTTCTGAGATGAGTGGGGGTGGAGGAGGAGTAAGAGACAGAACCTTCCGAGGGTCTTCCTCTGACAAGCAAGTAAATTCGAAGTGGATAAAATGTCCCAGATCTGTAATGAAACTCAGCAACGCTTTGTGTACGTTCTCAAGTATGTCAGCCCGCGAGAGAAACACCGAGAAGTATTTAAAAAAAATTCCCAGTAAAGGAGATGCACATTGGAATTCTTAACTGCAAAATAAATAAAAAGGGGGCTAATATGTAGGAAATAAAATCCTTTAGTAACAAAAAAAAAAAACCGTACAATTTATGGAGAAATAAAGTTCATTCAACATACACACACACACTGAAATGTAGATGATTCAGCAGGAATAAGAACTTCCACATTTCAAAAAAGGAAAAATGAACTTATAATTGGTCTTTTTAAAATGCCTAACTAACAAGTGTAACAAAAGTGTAGACATCTGAGGAAATTGAAAGTGATCGCAGTCAACTTTTCTCTAGCACAGATGAGTGATTTATTTATGATACTGGGCCTCTTGAGTTACCTTGGATAAATGGTCTTCACGGAACATTTATATTCTCATTTGAAAGGCTCCCTAAACTGGATGAAACTGGAAGGCTTTTTATTTTGATCCATCACGGATCCCAGAACAGAAAACAGTTTTGGTGAACAAGGGGAGGAAATGGCAGGGAAGGGGTGGGGAAGCTCCAAATGGGGGTTGGGGAATTAAGCGAGGAGCCTGTCTTCTGCTGAGCTGCTCCTAAAGTCTCTGCCCAGTGAGGGGAGCAGGTCCTACCATCTGTCAAAGTCTTTCGTGGCTTCAGGGGGAACATGGGTGCCCCCGGTGAGCCTCACAGAGCGGAATATCAGGAATGTAGGCCAAGTCCTGCCATGGGGCTTTATAGCAATTTGACTGGTTTTCGAGTAAATATGGGAGAATTTGGATATGCAAAGGACCGTAATTCCTCTCCTGTTTGTACACCTCTGTGCTGGAATCCTCCCAGCAGCCCCCTGAGGAGCCATTTCCGCTCTCCGGCCATTTTCGGTGCCTGGGGCTGACCTTGCAGGTGGCATGCCCATGGCTCCCTACTGTTCGCAGTCGGATTCCTGGTGGAAGCTCAGGAGAGAGAACTTGGGCACTGGTGCTCCTTCTCTACTTTGGAGTCTTGTGTCTGGCGGCAAATGCACACCTTCTCGACCACGGCCTCCCTTCTCTGTGCCTGTGTCTCTGTGGCCTCAGCCTCGGCCATGTTGTTGGTTTCTGCACACCCGTCCCTCGCTTGCTCTCATAAGCGTCAGCACAACTCTGAGAGGTAGGTGTTATCCGTAGCCCCATTTTACCGGCGAGGAGTGAAGCACAGGGTACTAAGTGACTTGCTCCAAGTCATAGAATAATCTCAGGAGCTGGGCTTCAAACTCGAGCTGACTGACATCAGAGTCTGGGCTTCAAACTCGAGCTGACTGACATCAGAGTCCCTGATCTTTTGCTCAGAACACGTTCGAAATGCTTAAGTAAATAATGAGAGAGCCACTGTCGGAGACCCTGGGGGATACGACGATGAAACGTTCTTGTCATTTTTGGGTAGGGCACAGTGTACACATGGCAGTGTGAGAGCTGCGTCCTGTGTCAGAGTGCAAAGGGCATCAGAGTGGCTTGGGCTCATGGCAGGAGGTCTTGTTCCTACAGGGCACAGGCAGGGGGCAAGTCAAGAAGGGGGAGGAATCCGATGGGCAGCAGGAACAGGGGAGCTAGCCACCATGTGTCAGAGGCCTGGGAATGTGTAGGTGAGCGTCAGGAGGTCGTACGAGGAGGTTGGAGTCAGATTTTGAAAGGCAGTGCTGGGAAGTCTAGTCTCTATCTTGAAGACATTAGGGGACTAACGAGATTCCTGCACCAGGGAAGCACCATAATTAGATTTCTATTTAAGAAAGATTCTCTTCACAGAATGAGTGGGGACCGATGGCGGAAAGGCTGGTGGAGATCCGGGGGAGCCATCCTGTGGGCCTGTGGCAGAAAAGTGGATGAACTGGAGGTGGCAGAGTTTAGTGGGGTCTAAGGGGCAGGAGGAGTTCAGGGAGACTTGGACATGTAGCCTTCAGGGTCTGCGTCCCATTCTTCTGGTGTCATTAGAGGTCAACCTTTTATTTCGTATGTATATGAAAAAAAAAATTTTTGGTGAGAACATTTAAGTGCTACTATATTAGCAAATTTCAACGACATAATAGAGTGTTATCAACTATATCAGTCTTTTAAGATGGAACTGACTTTTGGAAACAGCCAGAACTCCAACTGGGTGAAAAAGGCAGGTAATGAGATAGGCAATGTATTTTTGTTTGACATTTATTAAGAAAAGTAGAAGAACTTCACAAGCTGATACCAAAAGTAAGAAACGGGCAACATATTTAAATTCAGAACAAGATAGTTTTCAAGGTAAATTTTTAGGAGAAGATGATTCTTAAGGGTAAATTTAAAATGTTTTGAGGAATGGTATTATTTTACAAGGATATAGTCTCTTAAGTATTAAGAAAAACTTTAGGGGGGGCACCTGGGTGGCTCAGTCGGTTAAGCACCGATGCTTGATTTTGGCTGAGGTCATGATCTCAGGGTCGTGACATTGAGCCCTGTGTCGGGCTCTACACTCAGTGGGGAGTCTGCTTGAGACTCTCTCTCCCTCTCCCTCTGCCCCTCCCTCCCCTCTCTCTCACAAATAAATAAATAAATCGTAAAAAAAAAAAAAGAAAAAGAAAAACTTTAGGAAAAAAAGGATTTTTAACAAAATATACCAGAGTTTAAACATTACATATTGTCATTATTCATCAAAATTACATTGAAATTCAGTTTCAAGATGAAAAAGATCTGTCACAGAAAACAACCTGTTACTGAGTTGTTTATTTTTTTAATTTATGGTTAAAATATGGTGTTTTCAATTATAAAATGGAATTAGATACCATATTTACAATTCGACAGAAGCATTTTCCAGGGCATCTGTGCTCAAACCTTAGTGTACTTGTTAAAATGCAGATTGTTATTGCACCTCAGAGATTCTAACTCATGAGGCAGGTGAGGACCTGAAGCCAGCATTCTTTACAGTGGCCCCCAGATGATTCGCAAGTACTTTGAGACACGTACTGAGAACTGTTTACCCAGGAAAAACGAACAGGCAGGAAGAATTGTGTGGTCATCCCATTTCTGTGTGGAAAACGATCCCTACCAATTCCAGGCTGCTGACAAAAATGCGTTTCGTAGGCAAGGCAACAGCTTGGCCTCCTTCTTCTTTATCCAAGTTCCATGTCAGAGAGCAGACTGCCAATTTACTACTTTTGAATATATTCCCAAAAATTATCATGAGCAAGAGATTTGCCTTTTCATAGCAAAAGTAGGCACAAAGGTCCAACAATACCCGTATACAGCAGAAAGAAAATATGAGGGAAGTAGTGCTGTGTTGGGGAAGGTGCTTGGAGGCAGTACTCACAGGGCTCGGAGACCAAGCAGCTGCTGGAATGTGTCAACTTTAATTTCATAGATTTCATTATGTCGCAGGTCTCTGAAACGACAGAGTTCCAAAGATTGATTTCAAAGTCACTGGTTTCAAAGATTAGTCTTCAGAGAACTTGTACAGAGGGATGACCTGTCCCCAATCAAAGGAACACGTGAAGTGTGACTATCAAGTGACCGATTTAAAAATTTTTGTTTTGCTTAAAGAAGAACATTCCAGTTTATACACATAGGTGTTGCCTCTCTTACGAAGCGATGAGTTCTTTTGGGTGGGCAAAAAATGCCAGCCTCGTTCAATCACTTGGTGCCTGGCTCTGCCTTCTGAGCCCTTCTAGAATTCTTGGAAGGTCTTCAAGAGCATCAAACCATTACCTTTTAAAGACAGATTTGCCTTTCTTTTTCTCTCTTAATCGCCCAAAGGCATTCAGAGAAAAACGAAATGGGAGAAGATAGATGGTTAATATCTTTTTGATCAAAACCTAAGTATGACTTTAAAGCAATAAGGCTCATGTTTTGTGGAGGCAATTTTAAGAAAGGAATGTTAAAATGTTTCCTGCCTAAGAAGCATCAATGGCATCTCGAATATGACGAATAGGACACCTCCTCTAAAGATGGCTGTTGTGAAACAAACACCCAACGAACCCAAGTCCCTCCCATATTTACAAATAATACCGCTCATTGGATATGTAAGCTTAGAAAAATCCCAAAGCTCCAATAGCACCAAAGTTCTATTATAACACCAAGCTTGGGGTGGAAAGAGCATAATAAATGCTTTACTTACAGTACAATGCATGGTAAAATAATATTATCTATGTTTCCCAACTTAATAGCCATCCTACACAGTCACACCTTGTGTGTATGAGAAGGGAAAGCACCAAATGTCTCCCTAGTGAAATCACGGGGGCAAGCAAACCAATGACCCCTGGATATGTGAGTTTTGGCTCTTGTTTTTTGTTAAGTGACTTAGAGACTCTTATAGACATACATTTTCTGAAGCTTTTGGCAGACTGAGAAACTGGGTAAATCTTCTAGCAGGTTGTAAGATAGATCTCTGGAAAACAGAAGGTACAAAAGGGAAAATCTGTTACATATTAATCCTAAGGAAACATGCTTTGCTCTCCTTTCCCCTCCAAGATGATATATCTTCCAAAGGCAGACTCTGAATGTTTCCCCAGCCCTGACATGGAGCAGGTAGTCATAGGCATTATTGGATTAAGCACAGATCCAAACGTTTACTGAAATGTAGCTGTTGTACTTCTTTAATTGATTTAAATAATTTACTTAACGAATTTATTTATATTTTGTTAGTGATGATCTACAATGTTCTAGCTATTATCTTACTGAAATGAGTACAAATTAAATTAAATAATTGTGCCTCTCTAAGAGCTGCTATATCTCTACAGCTAAGAGAGTCATTGTTGGTTCTTTTCTAATCAACTAAAAAAAAAAAAACAAAAAACCAACAACACTTCAAAACATAGCACTAACTTTGAAATCAATCGCTGCAAGGGGGAAAAAAATCTAAGAAAGTCTTCAGCCAAAACTCAACAAATTACAGAATAACAAAAACATCTGGACATATTTATAGTATAATATAACTAATCTAAAGCAAGCCATGGTAATTTGCAGAAAGCTTAAAAAAAGAAAGCTGGTAGATAAAGTAACATAGATACTTAAAAAAAATCTTGTCTCATGTTTAAAAAGTTATCAGTTAATCAACTAACACACTTTCATGCCTGATTCTAATTCTTAAAACCAGATCACCACTACGCAACTGAAAAATCCATACTGTTTTCTAAGAGGCTTTTAAATTATTTTGTTCTTGTAATTGAGCACTCCATTCTACATTTACTGAATGAATGGAATTTATATAGAAAGACAGTTCGTTTACTACACATAAATAATGCAGATGAAGCTGTTTGCAAACACAAATTTGTAGTTTATACTAGAGGTTTGAAAGACCAAACCAAACAAAAAACTGAAAAAACACCAAACCATACCCCACACCAAGTACTTACTAAATACACCTGGTCAACAAAATGGTGTATATTTTTAAAAAATAGTGACTGTGATAAAATGGACATACATATCATCACAGCTGATAGTAATTTGGTTCACTCGTTTTCACAGACTGCAAGGGGACAAATCCTTCCTGTGTACCAGGTAGAGGATACAGAAAACCTTCTTCGACAGAAAGACATAGTGTCACCTTCTGCCTACTTTCTACCTAATGATTTTCATGGCTAATACTCATCAAGCGCTTCTTAAATATAGACACCATGTTTACAGCTTTACCTAAATTGTTTCATTTAATCCTTGTGGTCACCTTATGAGGAAGACACTGATTATCACCATACAATGTGAAATAATTTGCCTAAGATCACCAGCTACTTAGTGGGGAAAGCCCCACACAGTCAAGTGATTCCCAGGGAGGTGAAGAGACTTGGGGGACAATTTCAACAGTGACGTTTCCTCATGTAACAGGCACTCAGTGGGTGATTCAGTCAGAGGAGGAGAGCTCGCAGATCTGTGCTTCCGGAACATAAAGTAGATTGTAGTAGAGGTCAGGACCCTGAGTTCTACTCTCAACTTCAACCGATTCTTCAACTTGATCGAAACACTGGCCAAAGCATTAGGCCTTTTTTGCGTTTTCTCCTTTAAGGAGGAGATACCCGTTCTGCTGATCTTGCAGGGTGTTGTGAAGAACAAATCAAAATTATAGGTTGAAGTGCTTTGAAACTGACAAGCTCCTGTGGTTAGTGTATTTGTGTTCTTTCAGACCTTTCAAGTTTCAAATGGAGGAAAGAAGAGCTTGAAGAAAGAATAATGGTCTAAGGGAAGTGAGAAAGAAGTTGGTAAGAGCTAACACTGCCTGAGAGTTTACAATGTTCCAGGTGCGGGTATAAGCGTTTGACATGTAGTAACTCACTTAATCCTCGTGAGGATCGTCTGGAGGAAGTGGCTGTTTCTCTATTTTATAGATTGGGAGATGGAGCCCCAGAAGGGATAAATAACTTGCTCAAGAAATCTTGCTGGTATATAGGGAGACTGGATTTGAACCAGAAAACCAGACCCAGAGCCTTTGCTCTTAACCAATTTGCCAGTCAACCTCCATTTATGCAGTTCTAGCCCTGGGTGGTTTGCCATTTGCGATGTGACGTAGTGGAGACAGAGGCAGTTTAAATAGAGGCTTCTTACGTACTAGTTACAGCGCGTGAAATCCTAGTCATGTCATCAGGCCAGTTTCCTCGAGAAATGAAGATAATTACACCGGGGTGTGGTAGGCGGAATTCTAAGATGGCCCCTAAGATTTCCACCACCCGGTATACACGCACTTTCTCCTGCTTATCCAATCAAACTGCCTGTATTTGAATGTGGACTCTGCTACTTTCCTGCAGTGTGACTTCAACAAATGTACTTCACTTCCCTAATTCTCAGTTTCCTTGTCTGTTTCTGCACCTCAGAGGGCGATGTGGGGTGAAGAAGCAGACTTACTCCATATTCCCTCCCTCTATACATGAATGACTGACTCCAAGCCTGTCCCATGGTGTTCATACAACCCCAGATCACTGAACAACGGAAGTCTGAAGTGGTTAGGGGGCCGGGGCTGGGGGAAGGCAGCATCGTTGTGGCAGACATTCCCATTCTTCCACTTAACATTTGTAGTGCTGCTACGAGGTGAAGCCTGTGGTGGAATGACAGGCATTCAACTGACACAGATGTCTCCCGTGTGAGAACAGAGCCATGACGGGAGACTAAGGGTCCATTCATTAAGTCTCCACAATGCATGAGAGGACGATAATAGGGTTGGGAGTTGAGGGAGAAGGTTGAAAATGGAAGGTCAAAACAAGGCTCTTCAGATTCCTATAAACTACTTTTCAGTAAGGGAAAGGCGGAGGGAAAAAAAAACAGCTCCGAGTCACCAGAAATCACCTATGCAAGCTGTTTAACCGCTTGTTGGCAACATTACAACATGGCCCCCACAACTCTACGGCAAGAATGTTTGGTCTGCTTTATTAAGGTTTGTATGGGTCTGATAACTTAATTTTTAATTTTGGCATCCATATTGGGGTTTTGATCCACTAGGTAATTTTTTTCTGTTCTGCACCGCCTCGAGAGGGGGAAATGAAGTTATGTAGGCTTGTTCATAGCCCTTTTCTTTTTTTAAAGATTTTATTTACTTATTTGAGAGAGAGAGAATGAGAGAGAGCACATGAGGGGGGGAGGGTCAGAGGGAGAAGCAGACTCCCCGCCGAGCAGGGAGCCCGATGCGGGACTCGATGCGGGA